TCATTTCAGACAGCTCTTGCTCAAGCTGAGAACATTTTAGCCTGTGTTCTTGTAGGGCTAATTTCACTCTTTCTGTAGATGTCTTAGAAATGGGGGCATTCAACTTTGCTGGCTCCAAAGATCTTCTTTGCTTTGCTTGAGCTTTACGATCACTAGAATAGAGTTGCTCAGCACAGGTAGAACACTTTTCACTCGATTCAACTAAAACGCTACAGTTCTTTGAGCGCCAGTATTCTTTGCTTGTAAACATATCACTACCATCATCACACTCAAATGGATCAGCTGACTTTGGAATAACATGATGAGCCAGGCTAGAGTTGATTTCATAACAGTCAATCCCAGGGCAAAGAATTAGTCTTCCTACTTCTTTAATCAGATTGCTCAAAGTTATGTTCCTCATTGATCTCGCATAGGTTTTATATAACTGATGATCATCAGGTATTAACCATCCATAGCACATAACAGTGAAACCAAGGCTATAGTCCACAATAAGTTCATATTCTGCTGAGCAAAATGGCTCCTTTCCTCTCTTTAATACAACTCTATCAGCCATCTCTTCGACTCTCCACTCACTGAGGCATCTAAGTGTTTGGATCTTTTTACAGAAATCTGGAAAATTGCTGTAGAAATAACGATTTCTTGTGCTTTCTGTTGTAGTGCTTTCTCTCACGATGCGTGCTAGCCTTGGTTGAGTTAGGGTGGTTGGATGACTTTTTTTGGGCATGTTTTGGCATGATAGGGCCCCAAACTTCGGTTTTTTCTTTGTCAACTTTGTGGATTTAACTTCAAAAGGAATAATAAGAAATTATAAGATAATGTATTGATGTTTTGATCGATAAAACAAGCTAGTTATTTTTAGTGTATAGGCGCCGACGTTTGTGTGTGACATCTACATTAACTTAAGGCAAAACAAGGCCAAATACTTACAAATTTCAATGTCTTCTGGCTTGAAATGCTTTTTACATGTAGATACTTTATCATTATCAATTTGGTTTTGAAAATCTTTATCAATAACTCGATATTTCGTCAGCTCGTTTAGCCAAGCTTCGCGCCATTTTCGAAAGTCGTCGTTGAGAGGAGCGGGTAGTTTCCAGATGCCGATTCCTTTGGTTCTACGGCACGAACCACATCTAAAGACAGAACAATTGTCTCCAGGCATTGTAGAGAGATCAACTAGCGAGGATCGAACTTATATATAGCGTAGTTTGCGTCTAAAAACACATTTTAAATCAAGGAACATGACGCAGCCTAAATCTCGTCACGCCATGTTTGTTTCGGGTGTGCACGGTCGTGTGACGTCATAGCTCATAAATCTGAACAAAGAGTTACATCTTTGAAGTTTGCCGCGCTTCCTAACCAGCTCCCTCTACTAAATATGCCGAAAGGGACGTTTGTTTACCTTTTCGCACTTCGTCGCACAGTGACTCGCCAGTGACTCGCGAGTCACTGGTGCCTCATAACCAGTTGCCCAGGGTAGATGGGGCCCTTTAGCCGCGGTGAAGGCAACCTATCTAGGGGAGGGAAAGCCCTGATTTCAAACCTCCGCTGCATTGCGGCTATACCTGATCGCAGGAAAGGCTTCAGGAGTAAACCTCGAGGTTGAATCTGGAGTGGAGCCCCTAAGGCGAAAGGCAGATGCACAGCACTACCTTCCGGCAGCTCCTGCGGTGAAACTGGCCCCAAATTCTAAAGGTTCATCCTTTCCTTTGGACTCAGCCAGCGGAACCGAGAGGGGGACACTGAAGTGTGGGCAACCCAGCGTCTCCATATTAACCCGCCCAGGCCTTCAGCACAAGCTGGAGAGGTCACTCCAGCGGTTTTGCAAGATTCCGGCACAACACGGGATGAGGCAGTTCACCGGTTCTAAGCTTCTGACCGATTGGCGTAGGTTGGAGCGCCAGGGGCCTCATCCGACGGTGGGAGAAGCCCTCGTAGCTTCATTGGTTAGCTACCGCCCGCTAATGATTTCTTTTTTTCATTTTTAATAATATTTATCTTTATCATCTACGGGTTTATGTCGAATTAATTTGATGGCCTGCTCCCAGTTGGCTTGTTAGCTCAATTGGTAGAGCGCTGCACTAGTATCGCAGAGGTCAGTGGTTCGAATCCCGTACAGGCCTGAATTTTTTTTTTTTTCAGGTCTGATTTTCACTATTGCTTAAATAGTGCTTTACTGCGAAGGATCGTGCATATATACGTTTCATAACCGCAGTTCATATATATGTATTTCATATGTTTGTTGTTTAAAATCTCCTTTCATATCAATATCTCTTCTATCAATTGAATCGATGTTCA